GGTGACATGATATAGCAGCTTAAGTTGTTTACAGATCATTTGTGCAGTGAATATTAATTTCTTGTATTCCCACTAATTCCATATTCCTCAATATCTACTCTTCATGTGCATTAGATTGAGATCTTCTAATCCTAAATTCACCCAACTTCTTATTCCAATTTTGACCCATGTTCAAATTATTTAATATTATAATATCGTTTGATTTTTCTAGTATTTGTTATGTTATTCAAGACAATGTTCGGTTATATTTTCACATCATTTTTCGCCGAAATGAATTTGTGTTTGTTTAGATTTTCAAAACAAAATTACAGAAACAATTTCTAAAGTTGCTGTGTCTTTTCCCTACATAATTTGAATTCTACAGTAAAAGAAATTGTTTTCACTAAGAAACGAACTAACATCAATTTAATTGTCAAATTATTCTTCTACAATACATTTTTTCAAACACCTTTAAACATGATTTGACTGTTATAATGTATTCCGTCTCATTTTAAAATATAAATAAACATTACTTTCATTCTCAAATTATTTCGTCGATCAAAATATATTTCCTCAAAATAAAATGGAAATAACTCCGAAAACCAATCTAAACATTGCCTCGTTCGTGTCTCTTTACAGAAGAAATGTTAATTTTTCCGGACTCGAAATTTGTTGCAACCTATGAGGAAGAAGAAGAAACTAAATAAAGATTCGAACTTGAATCAGAAGTTTAGGCAAGACTCGAGAGCAATGTATAACTATAAGTGGGCTAATTCGTAATTAATCTTCAACAAATTAATTGTTTTCCTAAAACTATATAGTTAACAAATTTTATTTTATTTTTAACGAGTATTTAAACAAATTAACTATAAGAAAAAGAAGAATTGAAGTAATAATTAATAAAATCTCAAAAAAGAAACAAAGTAATAATTAATAAACAACCATAATCAATAATCAGAACAAATTAATCACCATTACATGTCAACTACTAACTCAACATTTAACAAGAGACGGCGGCGGAAAATCAAGCCCTGAAGCACAACAATTGGTGGTGATGATGGTGGTGGTTGTGGTGGTCTTGGTGGCGGCGATACAACGCCGTCGCTTCCTTATCAATGACGCCTCTGACATGGCAGAAATCCTCCACGTGGCACGGAATATTGATCGGACCGTCGTGATCGAAGCCGTACTCCTCCTCCGCCTCCTTGAGCAGCTGTACAAACAGGGGATGGTTCACATAAGTCACCGGAATAATAAACCGCTGCTGCTCCTCCCCTTGCCCCACCGTCACCGCCACGCATCCCTTCGGAATACCCCTAACCTCCCTACTCCCACCCCCGCCGCGGAAGTGAATGTTCGGCATGTGCAGATGGAAATTCAGGTGGCCGCTCTTATCTCCGTTCACCATCTTCCAATATATATGTATGTACAGCTTGAATTGATCAACAACACAGAGAGATCTAGAGAGAGAGAGAGAGAGAAACTAGGGTTTATAAAGAGAGAGAAAAAGGCCAAGGATCGGAGGCCGAGATGGCGAGATTGAACAAGGTTAAAGCGACGTCGGATAGAGATTTAGGGATATTGCTCATTATATATGAATTTTGCAAATTAGCATATGTATTAAGTTTATCAAGTTCGAGGAGAAAGAGAGATAGATGGCTATATATATACACACACGGAGAGGAGAGAGAAAGAAGAGAGAGAGAGAGAAGGCATCTGGGTTTAGCTTGTGGAGGTGAAAATTTCTTCATTTGTACGCTAATGTGGGCCCCACTTTCCAGAGCTGTTTGAAGGCGGTAGAATTTATCTGAAACAGTCTTTGGGCGGGTGAGGGTAATTTCGGGATTTGCCGTGTCAAAGTTCTGTTGTATTGTATTTCTATTCTGCCCTTTTATTCTTTTTTAGTCAATTTGCTCTTGGGCCACGTCGTCGATGGTACCGGTGAAAATTGGAACAAAATTTTTGAATTTCGACGATTTTAATTTGAATAATTTCCAATTATGAAATAATATTTTTAATTCCGAATTGGATTTCATTTTTTGATTTTAATGACAATATAAAATTGTCGGCGTAAATAAAATGTTTTGGTGCGTGTTTGTGACGTAATATTTAGAAACGTAAACGGCATCCATTGACTTAGTGAGGGGGGCAATTACAGTAGTCCATCACAGAAAAAACGTGGCCGACTCGATGCTAGTTGATTTATTTATGACAAAATCGGGGTAATTAGTTTAATAATAGCAGGCTGTAAAAACTAAAAACATTGCTAATTACTAATTACTAATTACTATTAAAATATTGTATTTCTTTTATAAAGAAAATTAAAAATTGAAAAAAATAGTCGTTTGAAAAGTAGGCGCAAGTTACGCTCCTGGTGGGCCGGCCCAGCCAATTAGATGGCCGGATTTTCTGTGAAGCTTTCTCATGTGCGTTGAAAGTCAAATCGTGTTTATGGATTTTCTAATGTCTTTTCCTTTTCTTTTTTTTTTTTTTTTTTTTTTTTTAATTTGTTTTTTGGAGGGAAAGATGTAATGTCAATTTTGAATGTTAATTTCGGTAGGTGTTGTTGTATTGTAATTGTTTTAGTACATACCTATCAAATGGATTAAGAAAAATGTCTTTAGAATTAATTTTGTAACGGATGACTAAATAAATATTGATAATTTCAACTACATGTAAATTTTGTTAAGTAGGAAGATTTATAGACAAATCACACATAATATCATTGTTTAATATATTTAATACAAAGATAAAATATAATAATCCGAACATTTTACTAACTAAATAATTAGTTGGTTAGTAAAGAAATTAATTCAATCTCGTCTATTTCAAATTAATTCGATAAAACGGACCGAATGAGGAAACTATCTACTACATTTCTATACAATTAATGGCTCTTTGGCACGGCCCATTTGTGAAGCAACCCTGCACGCAAAGCCCCACTACGAGCAGCGGTTCGGTATTGTCACCCAGTTTAAGAGGCCAAACCCTTCCGTGACAATTGGACGAGGAAGGTATGCCACCGAGAATTGAGGGGAACATGCGGCACTCGAAGGTGTAGTCGTGATCTTGACGGGCGCATTTAAGGCACTGACATCTGCATTGAATGCTTGAATGATTGGAGACAACCAAAAAGCGGGAAGAAGCATAGACACCGTTCAAATTAAATGTTAGACTTGTATTTATTTATCTTATTTTGATTTGGTCTTTTGCACACATTTAATATAAATAGTTTCGTTTGTATATTTCAATATCCGTTTTTGTTTTATATTTGACACATTCAATCATATACGACCGGTTAGATAATACGACGGTAATATAATTCCATTACTCAACTTTTGAACTATAGACATGCGGATCGATATCTACAAATAATGTTCAACAAAATGCGATATTGTATACTTACGATTTTATATACATGGTTTTTACGCGTATCACCTCTCCAATTTTTTTTAAACTTAATTAATTTGTTTTTATTGACCTTTTCAAAAAAAAAAAAAAAAAAAAAATTCTCATTCATTTAGTGGGCTAGGCCGAATAGAAACACTCAAGCCCGGTCTAACTTTGACCTGTCAACCCAATAGCAAATACAAAATGAAGAAGCCCATTTAGGTTAGCATTAAACTAAAAGTATATAATTCACCGTAGAACCTCGGTAATTTAGTAATCGATAAATTAATAATCTCGTTTAAATAATATTTATTATGGTCCTAACTTGGTAAAAACGAAGTAAATTATTAGTTCGATAAATTGATAGAATTTTGTTACCGCTAGCTGTTTTAATTTAAAGAGGTTTAACTGTAATTTCATCATATTTTTCTAAATTATGTTTATATTGAATTTTTGTAATTAAATTTTCCTAATAGAGTTTAAAAATGTACACAACCAATATGTAAACGTGAAAATGCAATAAGAAATTCGAACTTCAATCTAATGTACCAAGAAAAAACAATCAAATTAGGTCAAAAGGGCATTTAGAAAAAAAAAAGAATAAATTGAATTACAGGGGCAGTTTTGCAATTTTGTTTTCCAATTCTAACCTTTCAGCCCCATCTGCGTTGTCTTGAAATGACCAAAACACCCTTAGAATCCCCGAAAAATGACCCATGCATCACCACCCTCATTACTACAAACTCGTCGTCCTCTCCTCCGCCGGCCGCCGCTGCAACTCGGCGGCCGCCGACAGCGCCTCCGCGATGGGTTTAATGACCAAAATAACCTCCCCAACCGCCATGCTCCCGGCGACAAAAAGAAACATGGCGAGCACAACGTAACCGTACGCCGCCTCCTCCGGCATCCACAGCCACGACAGGCTGAGGCACGCGATCTGCACCGACAGCGCCACCATCACGGCGGCGGCGAGGAGGTAGATCCTGTTCCTGATCCCCTTGTTTATCACCAGGTCCATCACCCTCCAGCACGAGCACAGGAACGCCACCGCGTACGCGGCGGCGAAGCCGCCGAACACGACGCTGCTGAAGAACGGGTAGGTGCAGAGCGCCGTCCTGCTCCCGAAATAGTCGCTCCCGGCGACGGAGCTTCCGTGCATGAACCTCGGCAGCCGCCCCTCCAGCGGCGAGGAGTAGACGAAGAACAGCTGCAGCAGCGTGACGGGGGCGCAGACCGCCAGCAGCGAGACCAGGGCCCACATCCGGCTAGGGTTTGACTTTTTGATCGAGACGTTGACCAGGAAAAGTAGGGTTACCAAGAAACTCGGCTCGAGAAACCCTAGAGAGAGAACGACGTGGATTTTGCAGATGTTGGATTGTTGGTGTAGATTCAGCGTGGGTAGAAATGGGTAGAGGTATTTTCTGCGGACCAATGGGAGGCGGAGGATCTCGTTAACGGCCCAGATTGATGTGATCGTGACGAGGAGCAATCGGACGGTCCAGAGAGAATTGAAGTTTTCGAGGTGGCGGAGGCGGCGTGACCTCAGGCGCGTGTAGATGACGACGGAGAATGAGATGAGGGAGAGGAGGAGGAGGGCGGCGATGGTGGCAAGCGTGGCTAAATCGAACCCGCTTTTGGCGATTGGGATTGACGAGAAGAAGAAGATTTCGTGCGTGGTGTAATCCGGGACGATCGGAAATTGGGAAGGTGACGGCGACGGCGACGGCGGGAGGAGGAAGGACGAGGAGGAGGAGAGGACATTATGGTGGTGGTGGGAGAGGAGCTTTCTCATAGATTGCCGTGGGTGGGCGACGGCGGCGGGTATACGCCGGCGGCCGTCGCGGTGGCGGAGATGAGAGGATGGGAGGTGGAATCGATGGCTCCTGTGATTGTTTGTTGAGGTTTGAAAATCGCATAATTTTTTTGTTTTTTTTTATTTTTCTTTCCCGAAATAGTTTTTTTTCCCCGGCGGTTTGCGTTTCCTCCCAGCCTACGGGAAAGCAGGCTGGTGGGGGAGTAAGGGGGGAAAAGATTGAAAGGATTGCGTTTGCCAAATCTTAGAGAGAGAGAGAGAGAGAGAGAGAGAGAGAGAGAGAGAGAGAGAGAGAGAGAGAGAGAGAGAGAGAGAGAGAGAGAGAGAGAGAGAGAGAGAGAGAGAGAGGAAATTGATGGTTGTGGTTTGTTTTAGTATGTTTACATTGTTGTTATGGGATTGATGGTTGTTCTATAAGGATTCTATTGAATTAGTGCTCTACATATTTATATATACATATAGGTTTTGACGTCTTCAAGAAATGACGTTTGGCCAATACATTTTGACAACTTTCAAGTTAAGAAAAGTCTCGTATTCTTTACATACACCTATTTCAATAACTAATCTTGAAATATAAAATTATGGGTGGTATTAGGACTAATGAATAGCACTATCCCTTAAACTTAATACTAAAACTCCAACATCGATCACCTACTCGCGTGCAATGACCTACCCTGATACAACGTCGTTTTGATTTAATAAATGAATATATTTAGTTAAATTCTTGAACAGATACTTCTTCTTTTGATTTAATAAATGAAGATATTTAGTTAAATTCTTGAACAGATACTTCTTTAACAAAGTGACATATATACATACATCAAGGTTTATATTTGTTTCTCAAGAACTGCCTCTAAACTTCTATCATCTATGGTTAAAGTTTGTAATCAAGAAGTGTGACAAGGGTTTCTAAGACCGTTTTGCAACAAAAAAATATAACTTACATAAATGCTCCTGAAATATATATGTATCATGTATGTATATACTTATCTCCGATCGATGACTAATCACGCGAAAATATAGATATAACAAAGCTCATGCAAATTCAATCTCAAATCTTTCAAATAACTAGATAACAGTAACAGAAAAGCAACCAACATGTAAATTATTTGTTTGAAAATCTCTCATCAAATAAACTAAAAGGAAATCCAACATAATAATAGTAGTAGACGACAAATATCGGAATGAACGACAGTAAGCAGTTCAAAGACATCTAACAAAAAAACAAGCGGTGATATTTCTCCACCAATTTTGGCACTCTACTTGATCTTCTTCTTTGGCCTCAACTGCAGAAACAAAGTATAGCATCATCAGTTATCTGCCAATCTAAACAATTATTTGAAGCCTATGCCAATAACATATTCTGGTTATATACCTGATTGCTGTGTCCACACTTCTTTTTCCTGCAGTTGACAGCACGTGGGTGCAGACGAGCGTAACATCTGCAATAAAGAGCGACACCTCGATTTAAAAAAAAAACACAATTTGACGAAAATTTCATTAGTATCGACCAGAACTCAAATCAAATTTGTGTAGTTTCTTACAGTTGCAAAGCCATACTATTAGGGAGTGAGAACTTGCCCTTGTTTTTTTCGGGTGTATATATTAAGCTGTGTAAATTAATATGTATTTTCTTTAAAGTTCTCTACTAGGGTGGACGGTTTGCAAAAAAGGGTCATGGTTAAAATCACTGAACCTGTTACAACATATTCACGATTTATCACAATCAGATAACGGTGAGTTCATCTCCGTGGTTTAAAGTTGCAACCCTTAGGAGAATGTAATAACATATACATTGTTTTGTTCCCCTAAGCTTGGATTTTGTTTCGGGGGGTTGCGGAAAGAATTTTGAAGGGCAATAATGGCATTAGCTTATCAAAACTTGGATGTAGTATATAGGGATTTGTGTACATCACTGTTTTATGTCGACAAGACTACTTTTCCTGAAGACATTGAACATTACAAGACCATTAAAGAAATGTTTAGCTTTGGTTCCGTTTTTCAAGTATTAGTTCGTTGGGCTCAGAAATAATGACAGCGGTGAAGAAAGCACATATTTCAGTAGTCAAGAAAAAGACGTGTAGAGGAACTAATGGAAGAATGATTTGTTTTTTAATTAGAAAGGGGGTTACTCAACTATACTAAATCGAAAGAAAACATTTGACATATTAATCCAATCATATAAAATTCGAATCATACAGTCCAAAGTCCAAACGTTCATTTTTAAATGATTACACAATCCCAGCCGTACAATTCTACTATATCAATCTAATATCACGAACGCCATCACCTAAACCATTTTCTGAGAAATCCAAACATTTGACAATGCAAGACAATCAGCAGATGATAATCGGGTAGCATAGTCAGTCAATTCAGGCATTAAGATGTGCATATTAATCCCAAGATTTAAACAGCATATAAGTAGTAAAAAGAACTCTAAACTAAAAGGCAATTGTCAACTTACTTGCGGCAAATTGTCTTGTCCTGGTTGTATTTCCTGGCCAATGCCATGAGAGATGGCTCGATAATTCCACCCCTAAGCCTCAGAACCAAATGAAGAGTAGACTCTGCAATACCAATTCAATATCTAGTCAATAATACCCTATCCAAAATTCTAAGGCCTAGTTTGGTTGCCAAAATAAGATTAACCAAGATAAGATTAAATAATCTAATGAAACCCAATTGTATTGTTGAACATGCCTTCTAGGCAAGATAAGCCATAATAACATAATATTTACGGGCCGACCCGGCGAGGCGAGTTATTGGGGTACCAAACATCAAATAAAGTCCAATTATTACTAATCATCCCAACCAAACAAGGCCTAAGGGAGTAAGGAAAAGAAGAGGCTATAGCAATTACGATTGCATTTTCTTCCATTTTTTTAACATAAATTTTGTGTACTAAAAACTCGAATCTGAAGTTTAAATATTCGGGGAAAAAAAAAGATAGCTCGATTGAAATTGAAATAAAATTAATAAAAAATTAAACCTTTCTGAATGTTGTAATCAGCAAGTGTTCGGCCATCTTCAAGCTGTTTTCCGGCGAAAATCAGACGCTGTTGATCAGGTGGGATTCCTGTACAACATAATCACAAAATCATTAATTTTTTTACTCCAATTCGATTGTATTACGAACAAAAGAAATAAAAAATTGAAATGATTTTACCTTCCTTGTCCTGAATCTTTGCCTTGACATTGTCGATGGTGTCGCTCGACTCTACCTCGAGCGTTATGGTTTTCCCGGTTAGGGTTTTCACGAAGATCTGCATTTTTCCTTTGGCGGTGAAAAAGCAACTACACTTCTCCGCCTCCGCCGAGTTCCAGCTTTATATATGGATTCGCAATTAGGGTTTTCTATTTTCTTAAAAAAGGGTAAAATTATATTTGCACCCCTTCACTATACAAAATGTATTATTCACTCCCCGATCAAACTTTTAACGGTCCATGGTCAAACTTTTAACGGTGTTAAACTCTTTAAAACAGGCGTTCAATGGATTTGGCTAACGGAATCAGGAAAAAGTCTTAACGGTAGGAGGTGTTTGAAGTTTTCAGTACATTAGAGGGTAAATGATACATTGCCCATAAAAATGAATTGGTTGCGGCTATATACAAGACTAATTCTACTTCTGCAAGACCAAATTAAAATTTTCAATGTATAAATACTATAATACCCTTATTTATTAAAAAAATAAAAAATTTCAAATATGCAACACTAAAAATTCAAAAACACAAAAAACTCTATCACAAGACCACAAAACCACAAGACCAACTCTCATCTTCTCCATCTTCCAAAACCCACAAGACTTTTCTCCTTCCTCCTCCATTAACCCACAAAACCTAGAAATTCAAAATCATCAAAACTCAACAAATCTTACAAAGATGGCAAGTATGGAGTCAGAAGACATCAAAATAGAACATTCTATGATGGAAGAACCCAATAATGTATGCATTTATGGGTTTTTTAGCTAGAATATCGATTTTCCAAAAAAAAATCCCGCGCAAACGAATTCGACATGTACAGGTCGAATTTTACAGGTAAAAATCGACATTCAGATGTCGATTTTGAGGTATAAAATTCGACATTTAGATGCCGATTTTGAGGTATAAAATTCAACATTTGAATTTGTGCTATAAATTCGACATGTCAATGTCGATTTTACCTATGAAATTCGACGCTTAAGAGTCGATTTGTAGCATAGTTTTTCGACACCTTGGTGTCGATTTTTGTTTTTTTCTCATTACTTGTATTTGGTCTTACATGAGAAAAAAAAAAAACCAATTTAATTTATGGACATACTTGTCATTCCATCTTAATAAAATAGAATCTTTTGGAATCTTTCTTTAATTTGGTCTTGCACAAGTGGAATGAGTATTGTATATAGCCGCAGCCAAATGAATTTTACCCAAAAAAATGACCCACTTTGCGGGATTTCTTTTTTATTTATTTTTAAAACTGGCACATTTTTGGCACGTGACTTTCATCGTCTCCCACGCCAAGCACCCCCTACCCCACCCCCCCCAGTGACCCCACCCCCACCCCCACTCTCACCAACTACTCTTTCGCCACGCCCCATAGTTGCCGGTGGTGGCCCCATCTTCCTACTGCACATATATATTTCCCCTCTTAACACAGGCGCATGGCCTCCAGCTGCTCCGCCCTCTCTGCTAACCTGCGCACTCTCCCGAATCCCTCTTTTCCCCGATCGCCGCTGCTGCGCATTCCGTTGACTCCGCGATTCTTCGCCGTTAACCACGGCTTCAGCTCTCTCAGATTGAATTCGAGCTCCTCCAGCTACAGTTGTCGAAGAACAAAAGCATCCATGGCTGAGATTGTAACTCCGAAGAGCAAAGGAAAAGTAGTAGTGTTCGACTCGGAGGAAGATCTGTCGGTGTCGCTAGCGGAATACGCCGCCGATCTGGCTACTAAAATTTCTCGGGAGAAAGGCTCTTTCACCGTTGTCTTCTCCGGTGGTTCTCTTGTTAAATCTCTCAGGTACATTCAAAATTGCTCTCTTTTACATCTCAGTTACATCAAAATATATAATCATAGTCTATTTTAATTGTTATTAATTATTATCATCAGTGATTGTTTGGATATCTGAACTTTAAACACACTTTTTCATAACTAATTAGAGTTTACTAGAATACAGAGATGATTCAACAATTACTTGGAGATTTGGTACTTTGACCTAGATTTAGCTTAAGCAATTCCTATGTTCTTGCATCAGTAAGATATGGCTAATAGCAGGGATCAGTACATTTAATTTGGGGAAAGGGGGAAATTTTATTTGGCTAATAAATATTCTTTGACTTTGTTTTCGGTGGTGGAATTAAAGGAAACTTGTGGAGAAGCCATACATCGATTCGGTGGATTGGTCAAAATGGCACGTGTTTTGGGTGGATGAGAGGGTGGTGCCTAAGGATCACCCTGATAGCAATTATCTCCTTGCCTATAACGAGTTTCTATCGAAGGTACCCCTTTGTACTAATATGTGATATTATCTTTGTGTTTTATGGATGTATTTGTGTAACTGTACTTTCGACTGGGCTGCTACAACGTGTTTTGGCGGACTTGTTAATATTAAGAGCATGCCTTTAAACTTGTCTTTGAGTGCTATAAATTTTTGTTTCGATGTATTTCGTTTGGTGTAATGGCACCAGAAAGAGAAAATGATAAGTACTTTCGGAGTATCAAGTTCAAATACGCAGATTCAGATTACCTTTTTAGCAATGAAGAAAAAACAGTTGACACATCTAATTTTATTACATTGACATTTTATTTTTATTATTTGCAAATTATACAATGCAATTAGTTGATTATTTAGATTTTCCAAGGTTATCCTGTCTTGCATACCTTTTCCAATACAGAAGATGAGTCATGACACGTAATTCAACATTGAGCTGACCATGATAAAGTTGTTCCTTGTACTACGACAATTCGATCCCATTTTTTTTTTCTCATTATTTGATCTGCAAGTAAAATATATAATTATGTTTCAGACTTTTAAAATCATCATTTGCCTCCTTAAACTGTGAAACAACGAATAGGATTTATTTTGTAGTATAAATGGATGAGGTTCTATTTACTTGGCAACTTATAGTGAACGGGGACATCTTTCAATAAGTGAACTATGATCGTAATTCTATGTATGGATTCCACAATCCTTTCCATAATCGTTTTCCTATTACAGGTTCCAATCCCTGCTAGCAATGTGTATGCAATAAGCGATGCATTATCAGCAGAGGGTGCAGCGAACGATTACGAGACGTGTCTCAAGCATTTGGTGAAAACTAAAATACTCGATCAATCTCAGACGAACGGGTTCCCGAAATTCGATCTTATGCTAATGGGCATGGGACCAGACGGGCACATTGCTTCTCTTTTCCCAGGACACTCCCTTGTTGAAGAAAACAAGAAATGGGTTGCTTTTATCGAGGATTCACCAAAACCTCCTCCGAAAAGGATTTCATTCACTTTCCCAGTTATAAATTCTTCGGCAAATATTGCCCTTGTTGTAGCGGGTGGGAGTAAGGCCTCTGCTGTGTACAGTGCACTCGCCGATGTTTCGAATTCCGAAGTGCTACCGGTTCAACTGGTGGAGCCTGAAGGGGAATTGGCTTGGTTTTTGGACAAGGACGCAGCTTCGAAACTGTAGGTTTTGACCGTGTGAGTACTTTTATAGAAGTTTGGTGGTGAATAAAATCGGCATTTGTTTGTTTGGTGTGGGTTGTAATTTTGAGCAGTTCTACGCTTTTGTTATCTATTAATAAAAGGAATCTTGATTGAGTATCTTTTTATGATTTGTTGCAAGTTTTGTAAGTTCAAGGAAGGTTCTTTTGGATAGTATGAACTGTATCTCTCTAAATTCTACACCTGATTAAGTACGCCGATTTTTTTTTACCTTTTATTTACACCCAACCGCACTCGGATGTGTGTATACACGTGTGTGGTAGATATAACTAGTCGAAATTCACCGGTGTAATATAGAATAAAAACCCTGATTTTGTTGTTGAAAGTATAGATGGTTGATATATTCAATTAATTAGGCGGATATTCCTACACGTCTTCTATTAGTTTTACTAGAATCTAGACGCTAATTAAGTAGGGAAGGCAAGATGTAGTATAATTCTTATAGATGTAGCAGACCTATATATTGGCTTAACAATGGCTTTAAATGAGTTCAATACAGCAAGTTGTTAAGAATGAGTTGCAAAATCTGCATGGGTTTTTTCATCTGGGTAATTCCAACTAAAATAGGAAAACGAATTCTAATTTTTGGGGGACAAAAACACGGCAATTCAATAAACTGCGAAAAGTCTGTTTGCAAGCACAAGTTTTGATAAGCTGACAAGGGGTACACATATTTGTTCGTCCGACTATATCAATTAAGAAAAACAATAAGCATAATAAGACGGAATATTATTCGAAGCACTCATTTCTCTTTCGTGTAGTGACGAACAGCGAAGGCCAATCCCAAGATCAAGAGAGGCACAAGGAACTGCAGAATCTTGATCACGAATTCCGGGGTCTTGTCCGGATTGTAATGGGCTTGTTGTGGAGCGACGTAAGTGCGTTTGAGAGGAACTGTTGCCATGTCTATCTCCCCAATGTAGTATTTCTCCATCATCTCCCTCGCTGAATCACTGTGGCCCACATCTTCAAAGTCGTTCGTTGCATCTTTTCCTGCACATCGGATAAATATTCACTCGGCAATATTAGTTGACTGAGTCCACAATTATGTGCACATTATGTTTGATGCAATATAATACACACACATATATATATATATATATATATATATATATATATATATATATATATATATATATATATATACACACACACACACACACACACACATATATATAAATTTTGTGGAGTTACCAGTGGCGGAGAGCAAAACTTCATCGCCTCCAGGATGGTCTTCCATGAATGGGGTTACATCATAAACCTGAATAAATAATTTCGTGTTAGAAACAATACACAAATAGAGATTCGGTAACAAGAAAATCATGCTAGCTAGTCAACTGTAGGGAAGTCGCGAACTATCTATTTGTGATCTGTCGGTAAGAAAGTGGATTAGAAGGTAGGATTTTCAAAAGGAGGCCTAAAGATTGACTTTCGATGAAAGAATCTTCCAGACTAAATTCGTCGAGACGTTATGAGGAATGCTTTGGTATCTGAACAATCGAGATTCTCGGTTTTCTCTTTCAGCATTAAACGTAGGGATAAATCTCATCTTCCATATTTTCTTTGCAAAATTATGCAGCAAAAGCCATTAACAATTTATTTTGAGCTCCACACTCAAGAGGCAAAGCTTGAAATCAAATAGACGTAACGTAACAACTCATTTGCAACTACTGGAATCGACGTTTCTCGAACATGTAATGTATGTTTTCTTTATGCTCACATCACTTCAACACATGATCCAACTATATAAACCAGAACTCATAAACTGAAACTGGCAATTTATTATATCAATCAGGAGAGTTCACATAACTTAAAATGGAAGTGATGAAAACTTGAATATCTATTTTTAGTTAAAAAAAATTGCTTCAAAATCCAATTTCAAAGCTTCACTCCACCGACACAAAGCTGAATACAAGGATCCAACAAAATTAACTACAGTTAAGGCAAAAAAATTACAGAGTAGAGTTCATACAGCTAAAAACTAACAAATCCAGTTATATTCTTAATAATGAAATTAGGAGAACAAAAAATAATTAAAAAACTGACCTTTCCACTGATAATCAGCCAACAATCCTTAGTTTTGTTGTGGTTCGCAACCTCCTCGAATGCGTGAACTTTCGGATCTGAGGCCATTGTTACTCCACGCGCCTGCAAAACAAAAAAACAATTCAACAGACGAAAATCGAAACGTGGATTGAAACAAATTCAGGCATATCTGGCAAATGCAAACGGTGAAATAGCAGAAAAAAAAATCCGAGGAATTTTTGCAGAACGAATTGGCGGAATCTCCGGAGAAAAAAATCGATCGGCGGAAAAAACTTACGACAGCGAAAGGAATCTAAACCAAAATTCAGTATCGATGATGCTTTTAGAATGGGAATTATCGAAAAATATATTATATATTGACTGTATTTTGGTGTATTGACAGTTTGGTCCCTCGAATTCGAAAAATATTACAAAATATTATTTTTAATTACTCCGTTGAGCTTGTTAATTTTTTATTCAATGAAATGGAATGGACTGCTAACTTTGAACATAGAATAGTCTCACCCACCCACAGAAATTTTCATTAGTCCAATTATTTATTATTTTTTAAAAAAATTAACATTACTTTTACTTGTACAAACTTAAGGTTAAATTATAAAAATAACCCTTGATGTTTCGATAATTATAACTCTCCATTCAACTGTGTATTTTCTTAAAAAAACCCTCGTTCTATAGCTGTAGGTAAATTCGATACTGTAAAAGTAGACGTGTATTACAATATATAGTTGATGGTGGTGATTGTAAAATGCGCAAAATTATTCGTTTTTATACCATAAGATGTAACACCTATCTACAAAAAAAAAAAAAGACATGGTCAATATGGTGATCCAATTTCGAATTCCTTTTACAGAAATCTTGTAATGTTAGTCAAAAATGCATTTTCTGTAATTGCAAATATTTTTTCATATAAATGTATTATTAATCTTCTTTCTAAAGAAGGAAAAAAAATATATTTTATAATATATTGTTGAATGTGGAATTGAAATGTAAAAAAGAAGTGGTAGTATGCCAAGGAAGAAATTAAAGTATTTCAAGTGACTAGATTACTTGATTTGGGCTTAAAAGTCACCAAATTCACTATTTGGTCCAAAGTTGAAAACTTATAAAAGATTGGTTGGTGGTTTTTAATACTGAAATAATTGTTTTAAAAAGATAACCTAACAATATTATTGCCTGTAAGGAAAAAAAATTTATGTTCAAAATAAGAAACATATATACTTATTTTACATTAAAAGAATAATGTAAATAACAAAATTCTCGAAGAATTATTCGAAATTCCGTACAATAAATAAAATATAAATAACAAATAGGAAAATTCTACCTGTAACTGATGATGAATAAGATAATTCATTATTCTGAGAGTTTGAAATAAACCAAGAAATACCCGATATTTGATTCAAAACTGTACGAGAAGAGTTTGTTTGAGCTCGGTTTGTTAATATAACAAACCAAGTTTGAACAATTATTTTTATTCAATAAACTCAGAAGTTCGAGCTCAAGGCCAATTAACAAAAAAACAAAAAACAAAAAAAAGTCCAAAATTCAAGAAACTCGACTAGATGAAAGCTCATTTGAGTTTGACTCGATAGCTTATCAAACCAAATCAAAACACAACTTTGAAAGCAGTATCAATTTTAGGGTCCAGATCCGTTATTAAGAAAATTCAAATTAATTTTGAATAACCACGTGTTCGGATCGGCTCGATTCGCTTACACCACCGTAGTTTAATTCAAATATTTTACAATAATTGATAAGAGGGGGTTTTCTTATAACCAGACCAATATATATATATATATATATGAGGAACGATGAAAATCATAAATTACCCTACATTCATTAATTTTTATGGTCTGCTAATGCATTTTTAATATTAACAAATTAACAAAGTGCTTGATATTCTTTTCTAAGAGAAGCATTTGTTTTTATTATATATATATATATAAAATAAGGTATCATATATTTGCTTGCTGTATGAAAGAATAAAAGAAGTTGCGGAGTGATATATAAACAGTATTCCGTCCCACATCGGAAAATTAGTAGCATTTGCATTACTATATAATTAATAAGAAATTGATAACTGTTCGCCGAGCTTAGTAACGTGAGCTTGTAACCTAAGTAGGGGCAACATTGTGATTGGACATGTGGCTTGACCGTTCAGCTGGGCCGGAGTTAGCGATTAATTGGCCCGCCCGGTCCAAGTGGTGTGTTGGTCCATGTGACTCGGGCGAAGGCTTGGGTTGCGTGGTCCGTAGAGCGGAGGGCAACGCGCCAGGCTGGTCACAGAGCAGCGATAACTTCCCGCTCACTGCAGTGGAAGGATTACGGGCCAGTGCTTCTTCGGCCCACTTAAGCTGACTGGGCTAGCCTCATTGAACAATCACTTTTTTGTTAAAAAATTGGGCGAAATTACATCCAAAAAATACACATATAAATAATATATATGTATTATCAAGTCACGAGCCTTCATATATAACACAAATTGTTATGACAAAAAAAAACTGAGGCCGTCGAATTCGGCAGACAGGTGGCAGCTGAGGTGGCGGATCCTCAACCGTCGGATCCAGTCGCGATCCCGATATCTATGGAGATCGACGTTTGCACCGTCCAGCAAGAAGGGGAGGCGATCGACGACGCGAGGGAGAGGGCAATTAGGGCGACGAACTTGGTCCCGTTATATCTATGGCAGTTCACGTTTACGAAGGATTATAGTAAGCCTCTGAGGCTTATGGTGTATCTTAGGTGGGAGCTGGAACGAGTTAGGGTTTTGAATATTGACGAGGGTTTGGGTAATGTGTGTTCGATTTGTTCGAAGAAACCCGTGTTTGGTGCTCAAATATCGACCCTGCCTTGCGGACACGTTTTTCATACGCATTGCGCTGTTGGAGTATTGGAGCAAGACAACCTCTGCCCAACATGCAGTTATCCAGCCTACGATCGGGATTACATGTTACATTCGTTCGTTTAAGTTTCTGTTCGTTTATTTCGTTTTTTGGACGTATTTATTTTAATATTTCCTTTAATGTCGAAACAATTAAACTACATTTCTTCGTTTATTTTTATATTCTCATTACGTACCTTAACTAATTTCGTGTATATTAGCCCCAATTTTTGTGCCGCGATTTATTTCGAAAAGTCGGGACTAAAAGTGTCTAGTTTCTACTTAATAATTTTCTACGATTGCCGAAAACTCAAGATCTCAACGTAGGCAAGAAGCTCATGCAAATCGGCGGATTAATCTTGGCCAAAGCAAGAATCGAAGAGGGCAAAATCCATAACCCGTCCCCACAAATCAAACCCGAAGCAACCGCTGGTACCATAAACCCGGCCTTCCTCCCATCGACCCTATGCCAAACGTACACCACCAAACTCCCCACGCACATATCCACCGCAAAGTAACCCCCCACTAAAAACGGGACCGCCATAGCCATCGGAAGCGGGACCCACTTTCCGAACCTCTTAGGCAAAAGATCCCTCGATAAATTTGCCGCAACCGCAAACGCAAAAAACCCGTAGCACAACTCCAAGCAGTGACGTGGCAGGGCAGAAAAACCCTCCACTCCAAGAATCGCCATGTTTCTGTATATAATCGCGTAGGGCGCTTTATACTCTCCGTCGGGGTTCCCGACATCGAACGCTTTGTAGAAAAGGAAAAACGAGAGCGGGGCCACTATGCATCCAATCGCGGTGCCGATTGCTTGGCTCACAAGCATCGAACGAGGCGAAGTTAGTGTGAGGTAGCCCGTTTTGAGATCGTGCATTAAATCAGATGAAATGGAGACGATGGACTTTATGAGGCCGCACCCGATAAGTCCGGCAACTACTCCGTTGTCTTTTCCGGCGAGGGCGGCGAGGATGAATAGAGACACCTTGCCGTAGTTATATGCCATGTTCATGTCGGTTAGGCCGGCTCCGTAGGCGTTGCAGAAGCTTAGAGACGGGGCGAGGATGTACGCCACTACGACGTAGTACCATTTGAGTTGAGGGAACATAATCGGGATTACGATTATCGAGATTACGGAGAAGAATAAGTAGCCGATGCATGCTACCCAAATTGGAATGCTCTCTTTTATGAATGCTTCGTTTCGTTGGAGGTCGTCTAGCGTTTCGTTTTTGTCGTCTGAAATCAAGATGGTAGATTGTTAATATTTATGCGTGGGGATCGAAACCAAGTAAGAAATTAAAAAGATGATCTAGTTTAGAATTCCTATACATTCCGGTTTATTTGAATTCGGCACCCCTTATTTTCTCTAATTGTTAAAAAACTCCCCATGTTATTAATTTTATCAGCAAAACCCCCCCTACGATTCATTTTCTTTTCTTTTAGCAAACAACCTCTAAAAACTCATTTTTTAGGGGGTGCTAAAAAATGCATTATAAGGGAGTTTTTTGCTAATAATTATAACACGGAGAATCTTTTTAGCAATTCGATATAATACAAAGTCCCCTAAATGCAATGAACTCATATAGTATATCCATTCACCTGTTTTCAGATTCTTCTTGTTGTTGAATGTAGCATGCATGCTTTTAATGGTGCAAAGCAGAGTCTTGAGAAAATTGTAGAGACCGTCGCCTAATATAAGGGCGATCGAAATGAAAACCTGCGGAAGGAAAAAAAAATGAATCAAGAATCAAGAAACCGTTTTTATTTTATTTTTTCGGGTCGAAACACACCTTGTAACCATTTAGACTCTTCATACTGCTTTCTTTGATGTTTTGTGGGAACCAATCTCCCTTTTTATCACTTATTAATGGCCACATCACACCCCAAGAGAGCACCGCCCCGAGAAGCAACGACAAGTTAACGAGGTGGGAGCAGATCATTCCTGCTCCTATGTACGTCGTGCTGAAATCAAAGTAAAATCTGCATGATTCGATCAATTATTTCCGATTAGTGTTTTTTTTTATTGCAAAAAAAAAAAAAAAAAAAAAAACCGAAAATCGAATTTAAGAAAGAAAAAAAAAACCGACGTTTGTCTCCATGCCTTCAATCCGAAAGTGGGGAAATTGACGAACCCGCATTGTTCTCCACCGGTGTAGAACCACTGGAAGAAACTCCATACGAAGCTGAGTGAGAAAAACTTCATGAATCCATTGACCTGTTTTCTGAAATACGAAAGGGATTCGATATAATTTATATAAATTTATTTGTTTTAATTTATATTATCGAGTAATATTAATATATTTTTGATCTCAAGAATCAAACAAAAAAGCCTACTTTGCCATCTTATCTCCTTTAGAAGTGTGAAATCCGTTGATTAGTACAGCGGTTGCAGTTCCACTCGGATAAGACAATTTGTAGTCGATTATCATAATCTGTCCGAAAAAGGAGCATACGACGCATCATTACTTATCTTTAAACGGCTAAATACGCACTAAAAAGGAAATCCTCTACGACACTCACATCACTACAATACTCGAAAAATAACAAAAAAATGGAGGGGGGGCATGGCCCCCGTGAGCCACAAACTCACAAAACACTAACCTTTCTGAGAGGAACCAAAGCTAACAAACCAACAAAGCTAACAACAAAGAGAAATCCAATCATCCAATCGAGACCGGGTTCTTTGTAGCTACCGGGTGAATTCCCCTCCGTATCGATTCCTGCCTGCTCATATGTTTTCTTGTCCAATCCCAATAGATAAGACCCAAATCCACCTAATTAATCATAATTAACTAATCAACACCATACTATTCACAATCAAGAAATAAATTAACCTTAACAAACACACAAAAAATTCGATCTTTTTTTTTTTTTGTTTTTTTTTTTTAAATTACCTCCGACAGCAATGCTGTAACAAGCTACGGTGCAAGTCTGGATAATTGTGTTCTCCTGTCTGGTAAAAGGGGTTGTCACAATATTGGCCTTCACGAGGATCTTAGTCCACGACGTAATGAATACGTAAGCAAGAAGTGCAGCCGATACATTGAGATTCGGGACGAGGCCTGTTGTTAGATTCAGCTTCATTACTATGATGCTGTATATGATTCCTATGATCAAACTTGCTACTATTCCTCGTACAGTTATCTGTTCTTTCCATGGCGGAATCGTCTTTGTCTCTACGTGGTGGTGGTGGTGGTCTCTCGTCTCTTCTACGTCATCGTTTTCGATTTCCGCCGTTTCTTCTCCCCTGCCTCCTCTTTTGCCCATCTTTCTTTCTTTCTTTTTTTTTTTTCTTTCAGCAGCCAAATTTCACTATCTAAATTCTAACAGAACAAAAAAATGTGAACTTTTTGTGCAGGGATTAATATATTCAAGAATATGATTTTCTTGTTTTCTTGATTTCGGTGAAACAGCTGAAATTTCTGCAATTTTGCTCACAACCCAAGTGGATTTTCTCCAAACCCCACCTCCAAATATTAAAAGACAAGATTTTGAAGAATGCTAAAAAAATTTAAAGCGAATGATATAGAGAAATGCTAACCAACTAATGCTGAAAATTTCACTATCCAACCAAAAAACAAAAAAAAAAAAAAAAAAATGTGAACTTTTTGTGCAGGGATTAATAATTTCAAGAATATGATTTTCTTCTTTTTCTTGATTTGGGTGAATTTTTCTGCAATTTTGATCACAACCCAAGTGGATTTTCTCCAAATCCCACCTCCAGAGATTACAAGACAAGATTTTGCAGAGGGGGATGCTCCAAAATTTAAAGCAAATGATGTAGAAAAAATGCTAACAAACCAACGTTGAAAATCATCAATCTTGAAAACGAAAGTTAGCTGTACTACTTCTTAACTTTGGTAGTACAAAGTGTAGAAAAAAAAATCATTGACCTTTTTTTGTACTACACACAAAAAGGGATCAAGAAAATCTGAAATTCATCATCTTGAACAAAAGATGGGGGCTGCAAAAGGGGCCTCCCTTTTCTCTTCTCGTTGACCCCTTTTCTTTTTCCCTATCAAAACACCAAACACTTTTTTTCCCTTTTAAGCACATAAATTAATATTATGTGCAGCAAATTGTGATTAAAAAGAAGCTTAGCTGTTAACTATAGAAGATAGTGTACTTTTTTTTTTTTTTTTTTTTTACTAAGAACTTGCAACCAACCATATTATCAATTGGGTAAAATTACACTCTCGTATAATAACTTGCAAATCATACAAGAAACGTAAATTATACTACGCTAACCATGTGTGACAAGTTCAATCTAGTAAACGTTGGCAAAAAGATTGGAACTTGAGTCAATTGATGGAAGAGCACTTGATCCGACCATTAGATCATTTATTGGGAAAATTGGTTAAAAGTTGAGTCATGAACAACTTTTGATTAATATTAATGCCTTCAATCCGAAATCCGTTTCCATCTTTCTGCATTTATGGCATACCCTTTCTAGATTCACTCGAAAAGTTCTGCATAAAGTACTATTGGTCGTGCTTGGAATTTGGGGTGCTCCTATTCAAAGTTCTTTATCGTTATAATCTTGGGAGACGATTTTCATTAAAACCGTCAGCACCGTTGCGAAGAAATTTTATCTTAAGAACATAGATAACTCGCCTCGACAAATTCATTAAAAGCAGATTTTCGACGATTATCTATTGCGGTAATAGTGTACTTTTCTCTATTATTGTGTGTGTACACTAATAATGTGAGGGGAGTGTGGTCTCAACATGAGGCGTAGAAGTTTGAGACACCCCTTTTCAAGAATGATTTTTTATTGATCTTGGGATTGGATGGACAATAAGAGAGAAAAGGTGGGGCCTTTAAAGTTGACAAAAAAAGAAATTTCAATATATTTTTTTTAATTCCTTTGTGGGACAAATTGAAGAAAAGTTGAAACTTCAATAATTTAAATGAAGGTTCTAATAATATTGGTGTAGTTGTTGCTTTATGTTCCATTTCACCCTTTTTGTTGCCTCCATAATTGTTTCGGAGCCAAAAATTATTATTAAAAAAAAAAAAAAAGATATTCACGGAGTATATATTAATTAAAATGTAGTATCGACCAACTAACCTTTCAAGGTTTTAAGAAATATTAGCCAACCAACTAGTATATGAGTCGGTTAAAATTATTGATCAGACCATAATAAACGGGTTGATGACCGATTATCGACCGATGCAAAATTTACGAGTCGAAAACATGTCGAAAAAAAAAAAAAAGAAGACCAACTTGGCATTTATAAAGAAGTCCATTATATGTGAATAGTTGCAAGTTATAAATTGACCACAAATAGAGCACCGAACAATATGAAGAACAGTCCTACTAGCTAGCTAGCTATATCGAATATCTCCACGTGTGTGTATTCAGAGCAAGAAACTCCACTAGCAAGTTGGCAAAATTGATATTCATAAAGGAGGATGTAAACAAATTAATTAAAAAGAACATAAATATCTTTTAATTATGGGTAAATTACAACCACCCCTGAAGTATGGTCAAATTACGAAAACCCCCTTCTATATGGGTAATTACAATCACTCATCAACTATAAATATTCTTACACGTCCACCATTGCGGTTTCAAATTTAGTCGAATCTTCAAGATTATATGCAATATTATCACTTTTGTACCCGTTTTATCCCATTCGAACTCCACATCTTGAAGCAAGATGATCATAATATGTGTTTTCTGGCTTGTATATATCAGATTGTGGTGTATCGGAAATTGTATTTTTACACCAAACGAGTACAAACTAGAGCACCTTTCAAATCTAGATGATTATGTTGAATCTGAAACCATAAGGGTGGAGGTGTAAGAAAAAATCATATTGAGGAAGTGGATGTAATTATTCAAACAATAGGGATTTTTTCGTAAATTGACTGGTTGTAATTTACCCTTTAATTATTGATAAAAAATGGATTATTTTTATTACGAAAATGGGTTGTCAAATACTCCAAGTTGTAATTGTTTGTCTTATAACAGAAGGGCTTTGGGATTTGAGCAGAATTGTCTTAGATCAGTTTATAATTTTTAATACATGTAATATAATTTACCGACTCCATTAACTAATTAATATATACTGTAAACAAACACTGTTCTAATTAGTGGTATCACGTGCTGATTAATTACTTTTACTAATTTTACTTTTATATAATTAAGTGTAGAGATAAAAAAGATATATATGATATGGTCGGTGAGATGTTACACCGGGTGTATTTTACTGTATAATTTTGAATAACAGATCTATATAAAATAATTATCCTTTAAGCATATATACTTATATACATACGTGTGTACGTGTTATATATTATGTGTAGATAAAAAAATTCAAGGTCACCGTATATATTTCACCGAATGCAGTATCGGCAAAACAAAAAAAATTCTTCTTGTTTAAACTTATTCCAAGAATCTCACTTATTGCAGCATTTGATTTATAACCATTTTTGGTGCTATGATGACATCACCGAATTAGTATATATAACTTTCTAGAGATGTTGGATATATTCCATTAGGTGATGTAACGAACACGGATTCGTTTCGAAGCATAATGTCAATTATTGCGTAATTGATTATTTATCCATATTATATTATAAGGTCAATAACACTTAATCTTCCATGTGGTTACAAACTTTTGCAGATGACCCCATCGTGTTCGTAATATCAGCACATAATTCGCTTGTAATTTATGGGGTAACTCGTCAAAGTTAACTGTTTGTGCAAATGTCAAAGTATTTTTTTTTTTTTTTTTTTTGCAGATGATTCCTTGTGCATTTATTTTTGCAGTTAACTTTGACGAAAAAACTAACGGAAGCCACCCCATAAACCACAAGAGGGTTATGTGTTGATATTACGAGTACAAGGGGTTTATCTGCAAAAGCTTGTAACCAGAGGGGGTTAAAGTGCTATTTTACACTATATTATAATCTATTATATTATAGTAGTATTTGGGCCAGGTCATAATTTATTTGGGCCGTTAACTTCGTCTAATAATAACCCATGTCCAAACAACCCCATAAAGAGTCCAATAAGCATAAAATGAAAATGCCGTTACCCGCCGTCAAATACTGCCGTCAAATCAAAAGGGTACATCTGTAAAAACCCAAAATATGTGCCTCTTCAAGTTTTCCCCTTTTGAAAATTCCAATCTTCAAAACACCTCCGAAACAGCCAAAATTATCCAAAAATCTCTGCAAAAAACTAAACCATAAATCAATCCAAAAAGAAAAAAAAATGAGAAGCGGTTCGGGAGAGACGAAATTAGTGCAGGAGCTGATTCTGTACGCGGCGAGCGCCGCCCTGAGTTGTTTGGTAATGTTCGTGGGGCTGAAGCAACTCGACCCTAACCGCGACGCCGCCAAAAAAGCCCTAGAGCACAAGAAGGAAATCGCCAAACGCTTAGGCCGACCTCTCGTTCAAACCAATTCTTATGAGGTTTTCCTTTTCCCCCCTTTAATTTTTTTTTTAATTAGCACTTGTTATTTCCGATTTAGTGTAATTTCATAATTTGGTTCGAATTGAATAATGGAAATTTTGGATAATGTTTAAACAAGTTAGTTTGATTGATGGCTATTTCAATTTGTTTTACTTGGAAGTAAATGAGTAGAATATTGAACCGGGAACATTGTGGAGTAATGTCGAATGTTTTCGTTTTGTTGACTTTCGTTAACAGTTCCGCATTGATGCCGACATTTGAAATAGATAGGTGGTAATTTAAGGTATAGAAATCACACCGAGTAATGTAATATCGCCTCAAATTCAGTTGTTTGTAGTTCATGTAGAATTGAACCTTTTTTACCCAAGAGCTAAAATTTACCGTGTGTTTGGATATTGTTAGATTGTTAGCGACGAATGAAGTACGAGAAATCTTATTCTAACTGCAAATGGTGAAAGTTTGTGATTATTCTAAGTGCTGGATAATGTTTAGGTGTGTATGTTGTGCTTATTTTTTTCTTTTGGTTTCAAATTTTTTTTATAGGATATTGTGGCTTGTGATGTAGTCAATCCCGACCACATAGATGTGAGATTCGATACCATTGGAGGATTGGATGGTATTAAGGAAGCTTTGTACGAGTTGGTTATTCTTCCGCTGCAACGACCCGAGCTATTCTCTCGTGGGAAGCTTCTTGGTCCACAGAAGGGTGTTTTGTTGTATGGACCGCCGGGCACCGGGAAGACAATGCTTGCCAAAGCAATTGCGAAAGAGTCGGGTGCTGTATTCATTAATGTTAGGGTGGCAAATTTAATGAGCAAGTGGTTTGGCGATGCTCAAAAACTAGGTACACGTACTTGATAAGTCAGCTATTCCAGCACTTAATTGAACTTCGTTAACCGATAAGAGTGGTGGTCTTGAATCATACAAGGGTAGAAACCCTTGGAGTTATGTATACAGTTGGCGCAAGTCTGCTATCCATGCAATTACTTGAACTTTGTTAACCGATGAGAGTGCTAGTATGCTATTTTCTGCTGCTATATGAATTTACTAATTTATGTTTTTTCATATTCAAAATTTTAGGCCCTAATTCCATGTCAATAGAATCTGCTCCTTTTGTCAGATTACGTCAAATCTTTCTGCTTTTTAAGATTGTTTTAGGACACTTGTGGATTTGAGTTTTCATCTTTTTCCTATTCTTTCATATTTAGTTAATGACGTTATGCTGTACTTCTAGAAGACTTCATCTAATTTTTTAATTGGAAAGTGATGGAAATATTGTGATGTCTCTTCCTTTGTTTAATTGTTGGGCTATTTTTTTTTATGTTATAAGTCTGTAACTTACGCTTCACGTCTTGTGCCTGTAAGATTTAAACCAGTACTTTTCAATATCCCATTTTTTTGTAATTATTTCTTCCGTTTTACATTAATATGCAGTGTCTGCTGTGTTCACCTTGGCCCAGAAACTCCAGCCAGCCATAATCTTTATCGATGAAGTGGATAGCTTTTTGGGCCAGCGGAAATCTACAGACCACGAGGCACTAACAAATATGAAAACTGAGTTTATGTCTTTGTGGGATGGTTTCACCACAGATCGTAAGCTTGCTTTTTCTATTGATATCTCTGTAGGATTTTTTTAATTTGTTTTAATTTTGAAATATGTTTTTCATTATTATATCTAAAAGACCATTTTGTGGCATTAATTTTTTCAATCAGATGATGCTCGAGTGATGGTACTAGCTGCTACTAATCGTCCATCAGAGCTCGACGAAGCAATTCTTCGGCGACTTCCTCAGGCATTCGAAATTGGGATGCCTAACCGTAAGGACAGGGCTGCAATATTGAAGGTGGTATTAAAAGATGAGAAAGTCGAAGATGGCATCGATTATGATCGCGTTGCTGCTCTATGTGATGGTTATACTGGTTCAGATATTCTCGAGTTCTGTAAAAAAGCAGCATACCTTCCAATTCGGGACTTGCTTGATGATGAGAAGCTTGGAAAGCCTTCTCCGGTAATTATTATTTTACTTTTTTTTCGCATCATTATTGCAGTTTAATTGCCTTCATCGGTAATATTTGATATTCATATCTGCGCTACAACGTACAAACCATGTTGTCGAAACTCGTTTAAGCATACAGGATCTAAGTTGTAAGATGCATTAGTCCTCCCGTTCGATGAATCAATATCTTACATATTAACATAGTAACCCCTAGGATGCTATTCAATATATATATATATATATATATATATATATATATATATATATATATATTCTTTTAAGTGGAGCATTTTCTGCATAATACAGCTGGTTGTTGTTTCAAATATTTCACTTATAAAGATTAATTCTTAACCATAATTTGCAAAATTGTGCATCAACTTATAACTTCTTACATCATTTATCCACAGAAAATGTTCAAGATGGTACGAACTAGAGATAATATTAACGTTTATCCGTTATCGTTAAATAATTTTTTTTTTTAAATATCAGGAGCCGAGACCATTGTCACAGGCGGATTTGGAGAGAGTAATAGCCACAACAAAAAAGACGAACGTAGCTGCAAATGAATACAGCAGATTGAGTTCAAGTTGGCAAAGGCAAGGGGAAGATTCTGACGGTTCTCACGTCACAATTACACTTGCCGAGTTATTATCTAAGCTCGTGAACCTTCAGCCTGAACCACGTGACCCTTAATTTCCATATATATATATATTATCATATAATTTTGCGTTAGGCTATTTATATATATAGCTATCTACACGTGGTGAAGCATAACAGATATTTATTTTTATTTATAATATTTTTGGCTAGAAGAAGTCTTTGTTAGAGTATGAATGGTATTGTTGACTTGCTGTGACCAGCATCTTTTTTGTACAATTTATTTTGTTCCCAGTTTGATATTTTGATTGTTTACATTAATTACATAATATTTATTGAGCTGGTTTCTGGTTTATCCCTTTTCTTCCTTCCCCGTCAGTATTACATGTATTGCATGGAAGACATTCGTATTCTTTAGGACCGGCAATTGAGTTGAGCCTACCCAAAATTCGATGGTTTGGGCCAATTTTATTGAAGTCTATTGTGGCTGCGTTTGAGGCACGCTGTCGAGCACGATAAATCTAACAGCTGAACCCGAATAAAACCGGATTGAATAAACTTAAATTGCTTTTAAAAATAAGTAATTTAAATATTTATTATTAATTTTATTACTTGACGTACTTAGTAACATTTATTTTATACAACTAATATCAATTGACAAAAACACTTCGGTGATATATGAAAATTTGAACTTGCATTCATCCATAGTTGTTTTCAAGCTTATATTAAACGTAATTTAATGAATGTAAAAGCTTTTTAATAACATTTATTTACGTTTTTATTTATTAGAATTATTTAAATATTTCTATGGTAGAAAACAATAGAAGAT